TAGTCCCGCCCCCAACTCACGTCATTGGTTGAGTCAGAAGATAACATCTACGGAAGCTCAAACAAGGACACTGATGTTCTGAAAGCATCACAGAATCACAATGTTTCACTCTTCAGGAAGTCACTTAATGACTAATAGTGACTCTGAACATTAAACTGACACACCGCAAACTATCTAAACTTCACATTTAAGAAGAGTTCAAAAGTTTGAGTTCGGTAAGCTTTTTTTTTTTATATATATGTTTTTGAAAGTCGTCTCTTCTGTTCACCAAGGCTGCATTTATTCGGTCAAAAATACAGTAACAATGTGAAATATTATCACAATTTAAAATAAGTGTTTTCTATGTAAATATATGTTAAAATGTCATTTATTTCTGTGAATAAAGCTGAATTTTCAGCATCATTACTCCAGTTTTTAATGTCACATGATCTTCATAAATCATTCTAATATGCTGATTTACTGCTCAAGAAACATTTCTGATTATTATCAGTGTTAAAAACAGTTGTGCTGCCCAATGTTTTTGTGGAAACGGTGTTACAATTTATGTTTCAGAATTATTTGATGAATAGGAAAACAATTATTTTGTGTTCAGGCTGTTTGTATTGTGTGCAGACTGGAACAATAGCAGGGTGAGTAAATGATGACAGATTACAGAATGTAAATTTTTAGATGATTCATCTTGTTTGGTCTAAAGATCTCTGATTGATCTCAGGCAGATTCACTTCTTCTGTGTTTGACATCAGCAGCGGTACAAACTCGTGCGTTTACCGCCACCTCTGTTACTCTGTCCTTGTCTGTGACACGGCGGCCGGCGGCCACACAGGACCAGGGGCTGTTGTGGTAAAATGCACCGGTTTACCCAGGTGGTCAGCAGTGGTCACTCTGCGTCCTCTGCCCTGCCTCCTCTCCTCTCCTGTTGAGAGCGGGGCAGCGATGATGAATCTGTGGCCGCAGAGTGTCTGTGTGACCTGACACGCAGTGTTAAAAACAGTTGTGCTGCCCAACGTTTTTGTGGAAACGGTGCTACAATTTATGTTTCAGAATTATTTGATGAATAGGAAAACAATTATTTTGTGTTCAGGCTGTTTGTATTGTGTGCAGACTGGAACAATAGCAGGGTGAGTAAATGATGACAGATTACAGAATGTAAATTTTTAGATGATTCATCTTGTTTGGTCTAAAGATCTCTGATTGATCTCAGGCAGATTCACTTCTTCTGTGTTTGACATCAGCAGCGGTACAAACTCGTGCGTTTACCGCCACCTCTGTTACTCTGTCCTTGTCTGTGACACGGCGGCCGGCGGCCACACAGGACCAGGGGCTGTTGTGGTAAAATGCACCGGTTTACCCAGGTGGTCAGCAGTGGTCACTCTGCGTCCTCTGCCCTGCCTCCTCTCCTCTCCTGTTGAGAGCGGGGCAGCGATGATGAATCTGTGGCCGCAGAGTGTCTGTGTGACCTGACACAGTGATGTATCTGCCAGGGCTTCTTTCGCTCGCTCTCTTTTATGTATTTGCGGCTTCTTTCACTTTATTTTGCCTTCTTCCTCTCTCTATTTGTCATGTGTCCCCTCGCAATCTCTCGGCTTTTCTCTGCAGATTCGTTGTATCTGTGGCCAGGCGCTGCTGATTAGGGCGGGCGGCCCTGTTCCTGCATCCTGTCTCTTTTTTGGGCATTGATTTTCACCGAGGGCACTTTAAAAATATCTGACCTTTGGGCATCGCTGAGGACTCTGGAAATAGGTTCCCGCACACACGCGCTCGATGACATTATGGGGAATGGGATGTTTGTGAAGGGCTGAAAAAGACGAATGGTTAGAAAACCTGCCCCGATCAGACAACATCTGTCCATCAGACGCACGCGCTTGTCAAGGCAGACGCTCGTTTAACGCCGTCTCCCAAAGGAAAGAAAAATCACAAGTCAGATCGCATCGATATCTCAAAAAACTCAGGAGAAACATCTCTCCACATTGGCTTTACTTTCAGAAAATAGCTCAAAAATATCTCAAACTAAGCTTGGATTTGCCAAAACGCCGAAGTCTGCCATCAAATCTCAGAGATCTCAACATGAACTCAGACATTTCTCGTTAAATGATCTGAGCTGCTTTCCAAATTCATTTTATGTATATTAATGCAGTGGTGTCTCTTCTCCTAATATTGTTGATGAAAAACAAAAAAATGAGGGAAATGAAAGAAAATACAGTAAAATAAGAGTATATAGCTAAAAAAAAGGTATTAAAATGTGCCTTTTTTAAAATAAAAATGTGGATAACACCTCATATCATTTTATTCGCTTTAGTGACACAAATGATTAATTGGGTCACAAATTGTGGCTCCGGAGAAAATGTGATTGCTCAAATTTGCTCTTTCATTGCTCTGGAGATCTCATTGTGTTTCAGGTCAACTATGAACTTTAATGATATAAAGTTAATGTGCTTAGAAGAGCAGATCATTGGTAGAATTTGATGAGGAATATTTGAGACCAAATTGAGATTTTAGACATTTTTTAGATGTCTTCTGAAATGCTAGAGGAGGCAAATGTGAGATTCCAGGAGCCTTTTTCTTAGGAGAAACATCTGAGAAGCAGGAGACTTCAGCAAACATCTCTATTTGCTCTCCATTTAATCTCATTGCAATCTAGCAGAAAGATATAAGACATGTCAAGTCAAAAATGAGAATGGTGCCACCATTTACTCACCCACATCATTCCAAACTTGTAAATATATTTTCTATGAAACACAAATGGAAAATATGAAAACATAAGTGAATAAATTAGACAAATTCTAAAAGTACATTACTATACTGTTGTGCGAATCTCATCAGGAGTTGTGAAATCAAGTTGTTGATCTAAACACAACTACTAGTGACACTCACAAGAGATGCAGAAAGAGTCTTTTCTTAACACACACGCCACATAAGTGCTGTATACTGTCTGTGTGTGTGTGTCCTGGTGTTTAAACCTCTCTCTCGCCGTTCTACCCGTCACAGAGAGTGAAGGCAGCGTGGATCAACCTCATTATCCTGATGAAAATTTGGGCAGATGTGCGAAACCTCTACGACAGACACAAACAGCAGCTCTGTCGCCTGCAGCCAATCAGGAGATGAAAACCAGAGGAAGAACCGCACTGAGAAACGACCACGGCCATTACGCCCAGAGAGAGAGAGAGAGACGGGAAAACGCCATTTCTGGTGCAACAGCAAATAAAAGTGAGATTTCAGCCTTTTTAAAATTCTGATTGGAAACAAGTTGGGAGTTTTTGACAACACAGACAGGGCGAGCGTGTGTGTGTGAGCTGTAGTAGTCGTTCTGTGGATGGAAAGTTAATGTGGCTGTGTTGAGATGATGAGCTGCCTGCCACTTAACAGGGCGGAGATCCACTTTGATCACACGGCCTCGGGCACAGCCTATTACAAATCACCTCATTTACATACAGCACAGGCTGATGGGAGAACTACAATCCACTCAAAAGGGTTACACCTCTCTAATGTGGAGCAGGAGAGAGAGAGAGAGAGAGAGAGCGAGAGAGAGAGAGAGGAAACAAGGGTGATACCCAAAGAAAAGATGGACAGATGACAGTCGGGAGATCCAGAGAAGATACACGGGTGACCAAACCTTTAGCACTGTGTATTAAAGTTATGCATTTATGCTGCAAACTGTTATTCCTCAAATCATGTATGTTATTGAGAAGAAGTGCATTATTTCTTTACTAAGTGTTCAGATGCATCATGTTCACCTGCTGGACTATGAAACAGGTAAAAAAAAAAAACATACCACAAATGCACATCTACGGGCAAGATCACAGATCACTTTTCACACCAGACAGAAAGAAACCACCTAGCAACCAGCCAAAACACTGTAGCAAAAGCAACATGCTGAAGAACATTCAGAACATCTTAGCAACTGAATAGCAACACCTTGGCAACCACTTCAGCACTGTGAGAGGTTTGCATGAACAAAAAACACTTACATTTTCTTTACAGAACATTAAAATCAGTATAAATTATCAGTTATGATTGTAGGTAGACAAAAATCTGGTTGAACAGAAATAGAATCCAAAATAAGTCTTCAAAAAGGAAGAAAATGGGGGGTCTGGGGTTTTTTCAGAGTAAGTACAAAAGCAATCGCGCATAATGCATAGAATGGTAGAATTTCCTGTTGCAAGGCCAAGGTCATGGGTTCGATTCCCAGGGAAAGCAAGATCTGATTAAATGTAAATGTATATAGCTTGAATGCAATGCAAGGATAAAAGCGTCTGCCAAATGCATAAATGTAAATGTAAAATGAACTTGTGTTCTTATAACTCCAAGTGTAATTTTTAATTAGAAATAAGGAAGGTTTGCAAAGACAAACTTTGCTGAAGTCTTGTCTGAAAGTCTTGAAAAATATGAAGGTTTTATAGGCTGTACACACAGATCTGTTTGAAATGTCAACTATAGAAATCTGTACTTAATATATAATTCTTTATGTGTAACACATTTAATTACACTCTCTGAAACTCAAAATCATGAGCGTGATATTAGGCTATCAGTTAATGCTTCTCTTAGTTTCTAGCTAACAACACAAAGGTCATGGGTTTGATTCACAGAGAAGCATTAACTGATAATATGTGTACATTGAATGCAATGTACTGTAAATTGCCTTGGATAAAAGCGTCTGCCTAATGCATAAATATAAATGTCCAATTCAGCTTCCTGTGGGTTGTGGCCAATTCCATTCAAATTGCAACTCATGAAGTCATGCAAAAAAGTCAATTCTTCTGTTCAGAATTTTGCACAATTCTTATGTCGACACAGGACTTGCTCATGTTCTTTACATGTTTTGTCTACAAGTTATAGTTTTAGCTGTAAAAATCAAAGGGGCAAAAACATGAATAACATTGTGTAACTTTCTCAAATCCACAGTGAAAACACACCTGTAAGAGTGGGATCGAACTCAGCTTTGGGTCGAACAATCAAACCAAGTCTGTACATTTTCTCAAAGATGTACACATACATTTGTGTGCTCGTATCAGAAGACGTTTTCAAAACAGGGTTAGTTTGGACTCACGTCCACAGCGCCACGGTTTTGTAGTCAGTGCATCAGTGACGGCCTGGAGTGCAAACATTGCCGTGCACATCACAAACACACGGATCGAAATAAATCTGAAATAGTTTCTTCAAATAACATAAAAACATGCATCAAAGTTAACTGTTTTCTGTAAAAACTAGTGCGTCATTAGATCTGCCAGGAATTGAGAACAGCATTATCTTTTTTATTATTGGCAGCATAATAAACAAAAATCAATGCGCGAGAAGACACAAGCAAGCAATTTGTGCCTCATACCGTGGTAACGGTTACTAATTGTCTCCCTTCTTGCAAGTGCAAGACCAGATCGAGCGCCACGCCATCCGCCTTTATGATGCTAATGGCCTCAGCAAATTATCCGTCAAACGGGAAAAACTCTGACTTCATCTCCAATCAGATTCCCCATTCCGCCCTGGATAAAAGTGCAGCACATTCTCCTAAATACCAGCTCAGAGCTGGAGAAAAAGAGGAAAACGCTCATTTTTTCGCAGGACATCAATCAATGAAAATAATTCCTCAAACTTTCTTCTTTTTTTTCCCCAGAGTCAGACTTTAAATGGCATTACATATGTAGCACGGCATAAAAAATTCATCTGCGGGAGCCTTGAAATGTCAGTGGTAATGATGGAAGCCTCACCTCCTTTGCTTTCTGCTTCAGACGGGCTTGTTCTGGATCTTCTTGCCGCGAGCGACTCTGGGAGAGAAAGAGAGAGAGAGAGATGGAGGGAGGGAGGATGAACGACAGAAGGAAGGATGGAGGGAGAGATGGGCAGACGGCAGGTGAGAGCGTGTCGTGAGCTCACTTCATCTGCCACACTAAAATAGTTGCGGACAAACAAGGGCAGATCTGATGTGTCAAGGACGGAGTATGTGTGTGTGTGTTCAGCGGTGAGTGATTCTACACCCGCAGGCTGTGCCCTCCAAACACACACACACCGCCACAGGCAACTACTAATCAAAAGGCAAAATACATGCATGCACACACTGTTACAAATGCAGGTGCAATCTAGAATCATCAGTGTGTGTGTGTGCATACAAATGTCAAAAATTCAACAATTACTCAAATTTGTTTGTGTTTGTGTCAAAACTATAAGAGTGGTCTGCAGTCCAAACATGCATCTAGTGGCCCTTTCATCACGATGTGCAACAGTAATAAGTCCTAAAACCCAGAAATGAGGATTTTCCCAGTTCCATCATGCCCAAGTCAGTGGGGTTTTTTTAATGGGTTTTTGGTTAAATGCAAGGTCTAGCTCAAGATATTCTCCCATTTTATTTTACGGTATCAAACAAATCATAAATACCCCCTTGTAATTTTAGTAAGTTTTTACATATCTTGAAAAGATGACAACTACCAAGTTTCTAAATGTGACTACAGAGGTTATGGGGGACATTAAATGTTGTCACGCCGAACAGGTAAAACTCATCTACTCACCATATGCTTTTACAGCCTCGGTGTGTTTATACTTGCACTCTTGAAAACCATTATAACTCACACTTTCCAACTTGTAGATTTTATATAATGATTGAACAAGTTGTCTGAAGATTAAATGTGGTCCTGCAACTGTTGTGTAGTTAGCCTAACTGTAGCTTTTTACTTTTGTATTTAGGCTTCAAAATTAATTTGTGAAGATTATCTTGATGAACTAAACTCGCAGAAAAAAAAAGGGTTTTATGGGTTTTTAGTTAAATGCCTGAAGGTCTGTGTTTAACACAAGCTCAGGATATTTTCACATTTTATCCTATGACATATAACACATCATTAATATGTTAATAAAATGTTGTATAAAATCAGGCAAATGTTATATGAACAAACCCCTCTGTAAAAACCCTTCAGAATATAGGTAGGAATAAAACTTTAAAGTTTGGTGTATTTAGGTACTGCTCAAGTGGAAAAAAAACTCACTTTGACAAAATAGTCTTTAAAGATGTACTGTATGTACTGTAAAAAGTGCAATAAAATAAACCCTTCAAAGTGTATTTCTTTTATGAAAAGCCAAATAGCCTAAAATCTCAAAATTGACCATTGCATGAACAATGTTTTTGCATATAGCGTCTTGCCTTAAAGACTGAGAGCTGTCAGAAGCTTAGTGGTGGTGATTATCTTGATGAACGGAATGTGTAAGAATCATAAACGTTTGTTGGTCACAGAGCTTATTTTTGGCAATAATCTAAAAGCCAATGGAAAAATCCGGTCCAGGGCGATGCTAAAATACGTCATCCCTGCAGCTCTCTATTCCTGCTTGTGTCTTTAGGTTTGTGTGTGTGTGGTCAGAGAGGGTAAAACTCTCTGCTGAAGCATTTAATCGTGGCCTTGTGTGATTTTACTCTCATTTGGTCTCTTTTAAAGAGAGAGAGATGTGTGAGGTGTGTGCGTGTGATCCTGAGGGCTTTGTGTTTAGGTCTCCGGTCTTTTTTTAATTGCCCCATGAGAACGTCTCCTAACTCTCCCTCTCTCAGCGAGGAGAGGGGCGGCAGTACTCTGCCCTTCCTCGCCGCTAATTGGTTTTAAATATATCAGGCGGTTCACGTACTGGTCGCTATCTCGGCTGAGAGTAATGCGTTTGGCCCCTGGCCCTCGTCCCCGAAGACTCCAGTCATATTTGAAATGGACGATGAGATTTATTTTAGTAGGTTCATGTTTAAGGGGTCAAATCACGCTGAGCTTAAAAACGCAGAGCGAGAACACAAGGACACAAACCAATGCTCCCACAGAATGATCTCAACATAAAATAAAACAAGATTTGTTTGTTCTGTCTGTCAATATTCATTCATTCATTGTATCCAGACTACACTGGCAATGATTTATTGAGTTCAGAGAGCTACAGACAACACGTTTACGATGCATTCGAGCTGGAAACACATATGCATGTTTCCCTGATCGCATTTTAGGCTTCAGCGGAGTTGAAATCCCTCACGACTGCGATACTTGAGCTTGCGTAACGTCTCATCACGGCCCAAAGTCACAGGGGTCGGCGTGGCCATTCGCGCTCGCGTATGAGCTAATCGGTCTCGTTTTGGGAGATATAATCTCGCGCCGCAGCATAATAACGCCATTAGGCCGAAGGGAGGCGAGACTTGGCCGTACGAGGGGGTCTTTACGGCGGGTCATCGTCTCTGAGCTAAATTAATTAATGACGGAAACGAGCCGAACTGTTTCACTGTGCCACTCGGGGCGACGGGCGCAGGGCAGAGTGGACGCAGTCCGCTCTTTAATTGGAAAGTCTGTCGTTTGGGGTTATCAGGGGCTTCCTGGTCGTGATGGACACAAATGTAAACTTTGTTCAGACATCCTCAGATAAGTTGTGGACTGAGCTCTATGAATGAGTGCGGATCAGAGACATGGTGCCAAATTCATGAAAGATGAGTAAGAGCATTTCTGTGTAAATAAAAACACTCTTGGGTTAACTGCCACTGCCAGTTAATTTTGCTATTATAATTTGATATCTGTAAAGTATGATGCAACAAAACAAGCATAAAAATTATGCAAGTATACAAAAGATTTATGAACATTATAAATTAGGGATCTGTTATTTGATTTCTTTAAATCAACAAATTATGCAAGAATGCTTTTGATTTCTGAGTGATTTGCACAGACACTCATTCTGTTTGTCTTTCCACACATCGTCTAATGCCATTGGCTCAGCATCATTGAGACACTATTGAGAATATGTTATATGGTTTTTATTTTTGTATTTTCCATTTTCATTTTAACTTTAAAGTTTTAGTTATTTTTTGTGTGTTTTTGTCATTTTTATTTTTTTATTAAATGAGGATGAAAAATGTTGCTTTGGCACCTAGCTGAAACATATACGCTTTTTATATTTTATTTTATTTTATTTAAAAGTTTATTTAATTTCAAGTAATAAATGTTTTTTATAGGTTTTAGTCTTCGTTAATTTATAATAACCCTGCTCTAGAAGGTGACATAGCAATGAAAATCCCAGATTTATTGCAGATTTCAGGCATCTGATAATGACAAATTTATTTATTAATGCAAAATATCTGAAATAACACCAACCCAACATGTGGCTCAACAATCTTATTGGCTGACGTTTTATATAAACCTAATCAAACTTTTTGTCACATGAGCCATTTTGACCTAAATATTGACTCCCCCTAGCATTTTAAGTTAAACTTTCTATAATTGATCAGTTTATTCACATGTACATGTTTCTCTGATGTTGGTCAATGGTTACACAACATGCAGGAAAACCAATAAAATCTTTAAAAATAAATAAATATTAAATGTTACAAAAACAACTTTTTGTAGGTGTTTTATTTGATTGTTTTTATTTTTAAATTATTTAATTTGACCTTATTTTAATTCAGTTCATGAACCCTAGTTTGGAAAAGCCTGATGCTAAATGAATTTTTAAGGTTCATTGGTTTATGGGTCTGACTGGTATGATCGATGAAGATATTGATATCTTGCGATCAGGATAGCTAATGGACAATTGAATGTCAATAAACATAATACAGTTTAATGATGCCACTCATTTTACATAATATTTAGTCAATTTCAATAAGAAATGTCTATAGATTTTAGAACTTTTTTAGCTTATTAAGCAAAGATGGTTTGTGGTTGATACAATAACTTAAATTAACAAGCGTGGGCAATCTAACCCATTTATGTATCCAGTTTGTAGCAAGGTGCAGAATTTCTGTTCTTCTGCAGCTGAGATCCCATCATTAATGTTTATGGATCTGAGAATACGAGGTGCCAGATTACCTTCGCCGCTCTGAGGAGAATCTCTCGTTCTCGCTCATCTTTCCTCTGCTTTTCCATTCGTTCCAGCTGCTCGAAAAACTTGAGTTGCGAGCGCACATCAGACGACTGCTCGAACCACTCGTCTTCCTGCAGAGAGAAAGAGGTCAGGAGAAGTTTTGATACACATTTTAACTTATTTATGAGTGTTTATGACTCAATCACGATGAAAACTTTCTTCTTAGGAAGGTGAGACGGAAGTTTACGGGACGAGCGCAAAAAACATGTTTACTTCAGAACGCGACCTCAATGTTTTGTGCACTTCCTGCGCTACCCCTGCCTCTTTTCATTTTCTGACAAGCTCTCATCCCTGCCTCCGTCTCTCCTGTCCTTTGTTGGCTATGAAGTCAGCCGTGCCTCTTTCAGGACGCTCTTGTTTTTTGCTGATGTCAGTTTCTTCACACAGACGCGTCTCGTACGGCTCATTTATAAAGCGGTGCGCGGAGAGCGGCAGACGCAACAAAAAAGCCACAACACACACCAAACAGAAAAACAAAAAAACAAAACGTGCGTCCGTGACAGCGTTCCTCTCCGCTAAACTACTCGCCATGTACACAAATAAACAGCCTTTAAAGCCCTCCGCCACCTGCTTTTCCTCCTTTGTGGGTTTGTTTTGGGTTCCCGTTAATGCGAGTCTCTTGAAAGAGCACTGTGTTTAATGCGATGCGGGGAAAGAGCGTGTCGGACTCTCTGGCTGTGGGTTTGAATACGGAATTGTTTACCTGTCTGCTTCTGTCTCTTTGTAATTCATGTGCCCAAAAGTTTGCACTTCAACAGCAGGATTTCAGCTGCAGTTTACAATACGATTATGTGTTAACATGAGCTAACAGTCAAAAATATGCATATATCTAATACATTTTAACATTAAAGCTGCACGCACAGACATGCAAAGTGAACTAACAATAGAATATACATACAACCAGAAAGTTTATCAAGACAAACTTCAGCAAACCAGACAAGTTTTTCAGTAAAACAGCCAGTTAGACAGACAAGTGATTGCTAGGGCACTGCTAAGTGGTTGCTAGGGTGTTCAAGATCGTTTCTATGGCAGTTTGGGTGGTTGATTTAATGTTGCTAGGGTGTTTTAGATTGCTGCTGGGGCATTTTGGGTCAATGCTAGGGTGCTGCCATAAGTTCTGTTTGCTAGGGCATTGCTAAGTGGTCGCTAGGGTGTTCAAGATGGTTTCGATGGCAGTTTGGGTTGTTGCTAAGGTGTTTTGGGTGGCTGCTGTGGCATTTTAAAGGGTTAGTTCACCCAAAAATTACAATTGTTTACATGTCTGCTTCTGTCGACAGTTAGTTGAAGTTAAACAAAACTGTTTATATAGTTTTAAATATAGATATTTTATATCAAAACGCATCGATTCCCTGCAGGAGGCCTTTATTCACCCCCCGGAGCTGTGTGATGCGCGTTTATGGATAGGTGCGCTTTATTTGACTACTTTTGGACTGTTGAACAAAAACACCCGCCCATACCATTACAAAGCTAGAAAGAGCCTGGACAATTTTTTATATAACTTCGATTGGATGCATTGAGGGTGAGTAAAACACGGGCTAATTTTCATTTTTGGGTGAACTAACCCATTAAGTCAATCCTAGGGTGTTGCCAAGACTTGTGGTTGCTAGGGAATTGCTAAATTGTTCAGAATGTTTCTGGGGAATTCTGGTTGGTTGCTTGGGGTTTTCAAGGCTGTTGCTAGGGTGCTACTAAGGAGTTCTGTATGGTTGCTAAGGAACTGTTAGCCGGTGATTAGGGTGTTCAAGGTTGTTGCTAGGTTACTGCAATTGCTAGCCTGTTGTGAGTGGTTGCTAGAGTCCAAGATGGTTACTTGGGTGTTGCAAGCTGTTGCCAAGGTGATGTGGGCGGTTGCTAGGGTATTCTCGATGGTTGCTAGGGCTTTCTGGGTGGTTGCTAGAGTGCAGCCAAGAAGTTCTATATGGTTGCTAGGGCATTGCTAGGTTATTGCTAGGGTGTTCCAAATGGTTTCTAGGGCATTCTGGGTGGTTGCTAAGGTGTTACTAAGCTAGAGTGATGTGATTGGTTTCTAGGCTGTTGTAGGTGGTTGCTAGGGCATTGCCAGGGTATCACTAGGCAACGTGGATGGTTTCTTGAGTGTTGGAATAGTGATGTGGGTAGTTGCCCACATATGGTGTTCCTAGGTGGTTGGTAGGGTGCTGCCAAAGAGATCTGTATAGTTGATAAGACATTGCTAGGTGGTTGCTAGGGTGTTCAAGATGGTTTCTAGGGCATTGTTAAGTGGTTGCTAGGGTGATCAAGATGGGTTCTAGGGCGTTCTGGGTGGTTTCTTAGGTATTGCTAGACAGTTGCTAGGGTATAAGAGGTGGTTGCTATGGTATTGCTAGGGCATCACTAGGCAGCTGCTAGGGTGTTCAAGATGGTTTCTAGGGAATTGTTAAGTGGTTGCTAGGGTGCTCAAGATGGGTTCTAGGGCGTTCTGGGTGGTTTCTTAGGTATTGCTAGACAGTTGCTAGGGTATAAGAGGTGGTTGCTATGGTATTGCTAGGGCATCACTAGGCAGCTGCTAGGGTGTTCTGGATGGTTGTTAGGGTGTTGTATACACAGGTAAACAGACAAATAAATACCTAACTTCATGCATAACTAATTTTAACATATAGAACTTTATGTAGCGTGTTCCTAAATAAATCATAGTTTCTCTCTTCAAATGTTTAAAGTGTTGAACAGGCAAATGATTTTCATGTTAATGATGTTTGACTAGTTTTAGCTGTGAGCAGACAAATTAAATAATGTGCGTTTGTGACTGTCGGATGACATTAGTGTCCTTTATAGAAAACTATTTACAGCAACACAGGATATATATAAGCACTGTTGATAAGTAACGCGAGTTACGTAATCAAATTACTTTTTTCAAGTAACTGATGAAGAAATGCATTAAATGTGAATGCACATTTCCTTCAGCCTCAGGCTTATTCATTTTACTTTTGGTGTGAAAGAGCTTTTACCTTTGCCAAAAATAGAACTTTTAAATTAAAAACAAACAAGCAAGTCCAGCCCAAATGAGAAAAAGTAGCGCAAAAGTAACGTAATGCATTACTTTCCATAAAAAGTAAGTAGTTACTTTAATTAGGTACTAAGTAGTTACTTTTTAGGGAGTAACGCAATATTGCAATATAATACTTTCAAAAGTAACTATATATAAATTAAAGCATGTCTTCCACACATCTCGTACCTTACTCGAATCCATTCGGTTCTGGGCAATGGAGGAAACTTTCTCCAGCACCGTCCGTAATCTGGACTGGGTGGCGTGAGAGATGAAGTTCACAGCCTCCAGCGGTACATCCGTCACTCCAAACCTCTTCGCTGAAACAAGAAAGACGCAGATGCAGATGTTATGAAAATATCAATACTCAAACAAAACACATCACCGCGCAGATGTTTGGAAGGAAGTTCAGCGAGAGAAAATTACATCTGTCCTATCTTATAAATCTTCTACAAAAAGGTCCAATGTGTGTTGAAACCACAAAGGGTTGTTATGATGAACCGACACGACCTGCATTTAAAACACAAATATGTGGAGAGGATGTTTTCTCACTCCCGTGACTCGTTTTCAAACCTGATTTCCTGATATTACAGTAAAATGAGTTTGGATGAGCCTCTGTGGTTTGCAAGGTCTGCAAAGCTGATCCAACCACCCAGAAGACCTCAAGAGACTTAAGCAACTCTGTCTCTCCTAAAAAATTCTTAAGAACCATAAAAACAGACACAAAGTCTGTACAGTAAATGTACAGCGCTATAAAATGAACATGGATAGCAGCTGATCATTTGATACTGGAGCAATCCAATGAGAAATGTCTAAGCTCCTATTGAAATCTTTTGACTGCAGATACTGGGATCTTGGCAAATCTGAGCACAGATTGAGACATTTTTAAGAAAAATATAAGATTACGGAGTGTATTTTTATTAGGAGAAACATCTGAGATATAATGGAACTTATCTAGTTTCATTAGAATGATACTGATGAGAAAAATCTGAGACTGACATTTTAATGTGTGATTATTCTTTCCTATGAAAAAATAAAGGGGAAGAGAAAAGCAGCTCTTTCACACGAATTGATAACTTTTACATTAAAGGATAATTAGCACCAGAGTTTCTAAAGCCCGCTGCAAACCTTCAGAGCGCTTCTATCTACAACATCCCCATCTTTAATTTGCTATTAACATAAGTTCTCCTTCCACTGTTATTTTGAGAAAATCACACCAATTATTTAAATCAGCCGCTAAACGTGCTGAAAGTGCCCTTAACGACTCCAAACGAGATCTTTTTTCTAAAAACGGGAAACAGAAATCTTGGGAATGTCAAAACATGAGGAGTTTCTTAAGGCCACGGTTCTTTAAAAAGCACAAGAAGCATGAAGCATTTAGATGAACTGTTCTACAAAGAATTTCCGTTCTACAAAATAAAAAAAATAAGCTGCTTTTAGAGAATAAAATGATTTGTAAATCCCTTCATGCAGGTTTAGCAGTGTTTTAAAACTTAGAAGCATCCAAATCAACTTTTCCTTGCCGTCACCTATAAACAATCTGTCAGAAGAGAGAGCAGCGGTGGACAGGTTTCAGTCCCTGCAGACGAAAATCATCCTACAGGTCAGTTCTGCTACACAATTACTCTGATCTGACACGGTTTACATGAGATACTCGAGACGCAGCTGGAGTCTTCTTTTGGCAGGTTTGATCCTCTTAAAGCAACATGCATAAACGACATATACTGTAAATACATGTGCATTTATGCATTTGATAGATTCTTTATCCAGAGTGACTAACATTGCATTGAATTCAAGGTGGATATAAGGTGTTAGATGATGTCTTAAACTTCATTTGTATGATGGGTAAACACCATATTCACAAAGCAAGATACCTTCAGTTTAAACCCGTATTTGCTTCAGATTTACATTTACTATTATCATCACTTAAAAAAACTCCTCCAGTTAAAAAGCTTTATAAAACAATTTTTAAATAAACTGTAACTTTGATTACATTTATTTTTTTCCTCACTTATCTTTTGTTCTTGGATGTGGCTTTTTATGTTACAAATTTAAGTTTGCAAAAAAAATAAAATAATAATTATTAGCCCATGCATTCCAAAGGAATTGAATCCATGAACTATTTTTTCTGCATTGCTCCACTTGTTTTATTTTTTCTTTAAAGTTGTATTTTTGTTGAAATATAGGTTTTACACACAAAAAAAACAGCATTGCATTATCTGTAACTACCCCCAACACACACACATGTTTTTTTTGTTTTTTTGACATTTAAGTTTTTACAAAAAGAGCCCATGGCCTTAGCATCATGCTCTACTGGACTAAGAATGCACACACAAAATACAAAGTCTGCAATTTTCGATTTGATGTTGAGGAAAAGTAGAATACAGGATAACTGTTTAAAATAGCATGAGCGAGTGTAACGGATGTGATCTTTGTGTTTGAGGGTGAATCGGGGCTTTCGGGAGTTTTGTTGGGTTGTGTGTGTGAGTTTCTCTCAGATTGAGCCGAGCTGGCAGGATTTGTGCCTCCCTTGGTTCGCTGTCACCTATGAGCTCTCCAGCAGCCCATCAACTACACCACACCACACCGCCGCTCCGCCACAGCCCAGCAGGGGGCGCTTCATCCTCCTACACACACGCCTGCACCTTTGAGAAGAATTACTAGTTTCTAACACACACCGCGCTCCCAGCGACAGCTCGACGGCCATGCTAACTCACGCTAAAACAGATGCCCTAGAGAGCTTCTGATGCTTAACTGAGATCTAATTTGTAGCGAACACAAGGGTGACAGAACAAGTCCTATACATCTAGTTTAAACTAGTTTGTGAGGAAAGAACTTCATACAAGCCATCAGTGTTGGGGAAAGTAACTTTTAAAAGTAATGCATTACAATATTGCGTTACTCCCTAAAAAAAGTAACTAATTACGTTACTTAGTTACTTTTTACGGAAAGTAATGCGTTATATTACTTTTGCGCTACTTTCGCGTTACTTTTTAAATAGAAGCAGGGCTTGATTATTTTTAATATAAGAAGGTATATTTATAGCAAATATAAAAGCCCTTTGATGAATGCACATTCACATTTAGTCTAGAACTACAGTAAGATCATGTTCACACAGCGCACACAACGCCTCTGTACTCCCGATTTCTCCCAATATGGGGACAGGAGAGCTGTCAGTCAATACATGGGAAAACTAAGTAACTGGCATTACTTTTTTGAAAAAGTAACTCAGATATTTTCTTGTAAATTAAAAAAGTAATGTGTTACTTTACTAGTTACTTGAAAAAAGTAATCTGATTACGTAACTCGCGTTACTTGTAATGAGTTACCCCCAACACTGCAAGCCATACGATTCTAGTCTGGAAATGTTACATTTAATGATAGTTGCATTTTGTGAGATAAATCGTACTTCAGTTCAGTGTGAAACTCATTGCGAAAAATTAGCTTAATACTAAATTTTATTTAGTTTGGGGTTGGATTTCCAGATTTTTTATGTTTCTGAAAGAAGTCTCTTCTGCTCATCAAGGCTACATTTATTTAATCAAAAATACAGTAAAAACTGTGAAATATTATTATTATTTAAAATAACTGGTTTCTATGTGAATATATTCAAATGTAATTTATTCTCATGATCAAAGCTGAATTTTCAGCATCATTCCTCCATTCTTCAGTGTCACGTGATCTTCAGAAATCATTCTAATATGCTGATTTGCTGCTCAAGAAACATTTCTGATTATTATCAATGTTGAAAACAGTTGTGCTTCTTCACATTTTTGTGGAAACTGTGACACATTTTATTTTTCAGGATTCTTTGATGAATAGAAAGTTCAAAAAACAGCTTTTCTTTGAAATATAAATCTTTTGTAGCATAATAAATGTCTTTACTGTCACGTTTGGTCAATTTACAGAGTCTTTGCTTTAAAACAAAATGTTTATTTCTTTCATAAAAAGGTCTTCCTAACCCCAGACATTTGAATGGTAGTGTATATTCTAGCATTTGTTTGGATATAAATGTTGGTGGTCATATGTTGAGGAATGTTCCAGGTTAAATAAGCGTGTTGACAGATATGCGGATACGATGGAAATCTAGGAGGACAAACATTCAGCTTTCATTACAAGCGGTCATTGCAAAGTGCTTTTCTTTTTGTTATTTACACAAACACAGAAGGATGAGTCGAACATTTCTCTGTGGTAATCGACTGCATGACACAGACTGACTAGGGCGGAACATTTTCATGCCGTGACCCTTTAACAATGTGAAAACTGTTTAAGATCCAGTTGAAAAGATGCAGAACCACAAATATAAAACATTCTAGGGACACCAATAAAAACGATCAATGCAATTCTGATGTCCACCTTTTTCCTGAGTAACCGATGAGCGCGCCATGATGGATTCTAACTTCCGGTCTCCACAGAAACCCATGTTAAGACAGGGTAAAAAGATTGATTGAATTCATTAAACTGAAAATGTTTCAGTATAACGAAATATAAAAATGTGTGCAGGGTTAAGCTGTGCTTTTGCTGGCTGCCACAGTAACAGCAATAAACTTTTACAATTCCTGTACAGTACTTGTTTTGCAAACCAGCCAATCTGTCCGTGTCCAGCAGCGTATGCCTTGCATTATGTGTCAAACACTGACGAGAAAACAAGCATGGCTTGCAGTGCCTAAGTTAAAATACTGTGTTGCTGATACTTTGTGTATTATGTAAAAACATCTTTTAAAATGTCAACTCTGTATTCTTTCTGCATTCTTTTTCCAGCTCTGTATTCGCTTCATGTCATCCACCCACTCATTAAACTATGACAGGTGAGTTACTGCAAAAATACCATCATTGCGAAACTATAAAATGACTAAACTATAGCGTCATGTGCTTTTTAATTAAATAAAACGTTATTAGTGCTGTCACTAATGATTATTTTGGTAACTGTGTAATCGGTCAATTATTCTGACGATTAATCAAGTAATCGGATCTTTTTTGTGGTAATAAAAATAGACCTAAGCGAACAATAGCCTTTAAAATGACTTAAAATTAGTGCTGTCAAAATTAGCGTGTTAACGCAGGCCATTAATTTTTCCAGTTTAACGGCATTAAAAATATTTAATGCCTGCATTAACTATAAAATAGTTAATGCAGGGGCGGGGCTATGGTTGGCCACCCCACTCACAATCTCTGCTTCTGTCTCTTTTTTCTTAAAAAGAATTACATTTATTTAGACGCAGAATGTCTTTAAGACCACATCAAACAGGAGACTTTTCAGACGCACGCACCAACTTGTCACGTTCAGAAGCGGCAGCTCTTAAAGTAATAGCAGCTAAATAACCTAATAACCCAGCTGCTGTGAAGCCTATTCAACAAAGAACAAAAGAAAAACGAGGAAATCAATAACTTTTGTAGCTTTAAGGATTCATCTATATTTAATTTAGTGTTTGAAAACTTTCAATTTCTGTATATTTCCTACTTGCTGAAGGGCACAAGTAAACATGACATTTATTACAATGGGTTTATGTGGAGATTGTTTTAAGTTCACTTAAATTAGAAGTTGTTCTTTTTTAAAGTCTAATAAATGTTAAAATTGATAGCTCTCAATTATACTGTAATGCTGAATGGATATATTCAATGGTTAAATATTTGGGAAAAAAAGAACAATTTCATAGAAACATCAGTATTGGTATCAATGATTCTTGCCTTCAGTAATAAAAAAAAGATGTTGTTTCTACATTAATTTGAAGATTGAATGTAAAGTATATTTTAAAACGTTAATGTTGGGTGGGATTCATCGCGATTAATTTCAGAAAAAAGGTGCGATTAATTAGTTACTTTTTTTAATCGATTGACAGCACTACTTAAAATACATATCTAATAGCAATGAGGCAATAATAATTGGTTCAAATATCAAAAGCAAGTAATCTTATGGTTTTATTGATCAAATTGATTAAAATACATAATGTACTGTAATAAAACAATATAATCATAACTTATGTACATTACGTATTCTATCAAATGCTTGCAGAGGGTGCCAACGGCCTGATGATTGTTTTCACACTTACAGCCCGACTGTTTGTGTGGAGCAGCATTTACTGTGAATGGAGCTGTAACCTACACGCATATAAATAAAGCGCATATTAAACCCACATTTAATTCAATTGCAGCCTTTGTGAATTCACAATAGCACTATGCTTTATTATGATTTTTAAATGGTTTTAATATTTTGTGCAGTCTTAGACAACATTCTAACAATGTTTTTAATGGATTCTCTTCCGTGGAATGTGCCACTTCCGGTATTTTGCCGGTTAATCGACACGGGCAAAATGCAGTCAAGGATTTTTTTATAATCAAGTACTTGAATTTAATCGAGGAATCGTGACAGCCCTAAATGTTGTATTATCAGCTCTGAAAATATGTTCATTTAACTAGAAACACCAGAGACCGGAAATGTAAAGCACCGTTCCGGTATGATTCGGATGAGATTTCCTCGTTCAGGATTGCGAGTGTTTGGTGGAACAAAAAGGACGCACTCCTGATGGCCCAAAGCGACTGTGGACTGGCCTACATTCACAAGAACAGAGAAGGTTTCAAAGCTCCAGGCTCTCCAGAATAACTCCACATCATCACAGATGGGTTTATGTGTCCTTGGGAGAGCTTTTTATATAATTCTACACATATATTTAGCACTGTAAACAAGCCAAATGGTTGAGGAGTGTTTGTCGTGGAGGTACTGTACCTGTTTCTAGTATACGCCGGTGTAACAGACCTGTAGACAGGAAGGCCTCGTCTTTACAGGAGCGGATCTGCGTTCCCACCAGATCAGAGTTGGTCGCTAGAATGCGCGCGCTCTCCTCGTTGAGGTTCACGCCAGCCATAGACGCAACATCGTTGATGTCATCATCGTCTCTGCAATACAAGACAAGCATCAGTCTGATCTCACAGCAGGTTATTACAGAGCTACTCAGAGTAATAATAACATAATGATGCATATTCGTTTAGCACTAAATCAAAGCACTTGATATTCTACAGTCAGCCAGTGAAGTTTACATGAAAAAAAACTGCATTATTTTTTGAATGTATTATTATGATCATAGTTGTTCATGCAGGTTTTCCGAGCTTATATTAAATGAAAGGATTAAATGAACAAACCTAAAAAAAATAATAATAATAATAAAAAAAAACTGATTAGCTATTAGTGGTATTTGAAAAAATATTGTTTTAAATATTGAAAATGTTTTATTAAATATCAAATAAAAATTTAATAAATAAATCAATATAAAAGTTCACTGATATATTGTTTGTCAAATACCCTTGCATAATACACATATTCTGAACAGGATGGGAATGTGCATGCATGCATGCAAAAAATAAATAAATAGATACACAAATAAAAAAACAACAACAAAAATTAAATTAATAAATAAATAACAAAGTAAATAAATATAATAAATGTTCCTAGACATGTTTTGTGCTTCACCCATGAGCATCACATGTATTATGAACAGAATGGGAATAAGCATGAGACCAACAAACAAACAATAAATAAATGTTTCTGGATATGATATTTGTCATGTGCATCACATGTGTTATGAACAACGGGAATGTGCATGTTAAATAAATGTTCATGGACATGTTTTTGAATGGCAGAGCGTGAATGTGCATGCGAGTTCTGTTAGACAAAGTCACAGAGTCCGCTGACTGAAGAAGTTAAACTCAGCATTTACTGCTGCTTTACTGATGTGTTTGACTTTCCAGTTTATCTAAAAAAATATGACCAGAAAGCTGTCTTCTCATTTTGATGACTTTGCTTAACAAAACACGAGAATTAGAAACAGTGAATCTGGTGTAAACATATGAGCCCGATGTCAGCTCCTCTTCTAAAAACATCTCTGCAGTTGTCCTTGACACGTGTGCACTGAATATGAAAGAAATCAGATTTAATGTTTAACGGATTATCTGCACCACCTTGTGTAATTAGACAAAGAGTTCAGTCAGATTAAAGTTAATTAGATCATTTGTTTTTCCAGCAGAGGTGGCTTTTCATTCTGACTGAGCCATCGGTCACAGTGTAAAACTAAAACTGTTTAAAATCCTTTCCAGTGATTGAAATCAAGCTGAAATTAAATGAAATATAAATATTAGATAATAAACTGAAATGAAAAGTTTATGTAGGTCTGCTAAAATGACTCAAACTAAAACAAATCAAATGAATTACAGCTAAATATAAATATTAAAAAATAAACTAATAAAAAAATGACAAAAGCACTAGAAATTAGAAAAAATGCATGATGCTGAAAATATAAAAAAGCTCATTCAAAATATTAATAAATACTATAACGGTATATAAATAATAATAAAATAACATTGCAAGCTGAAGTACTAAAAGTACTCAAATTAAAACAAAAAGAAATTAAAGCTACATAGAAATATAATAAATAAAACTAATAAAAATGAAAAACACAAAAAGTTAGTAAAACTTTAAAATTAAAGTAAAAGCTAATTCAAAATATTAATAAACTTATAAATATTATATAAATAATAATAAAAAGTTGAAGTACTGAAATTACTCTAATTAAAACTGAAATAAAAATACAGCTAAATAGAAACATACAAATTTTAACTAATAAAAAACAAATTAATTATTAAAATTACTTGAAATAAAAAAAATAAAAGCTAATTCAAAATATGAATAAACGCTATACTAGCATATGTTAACGTTATTAGGCAAGCATGGCATTCCATCAGTGTGACTGGCAGCTTTTCCACCCAATCATTTCTCTCCCTTTTCCCCCGTTGCCTTGGTAACAGTGTCCTAATTACGGCACATTAGCGGCGGAGTTTCCTGCGCCCGCGGCACTGCTGAAAACTTCATGGCTCCGATCACAGAGGTCAAAGTTCACTCCGCTCCGCTTTCATTTACGTCCGCGTCTGTACCTCTGTTTCTGACATTGACCCCCTGGCATCTCGCGCCCGTGTGTGTGCGTACAGACCCACCGCCCCCTGCCAGAGCCTCTCCCAGACTGGCCAGGGTGTCTATGAGTCCTGACACCGCGGCAGGAGCTGACAGAGGCCATTAGCACTGCGCAGAGTTAGCATGTTAGCCTAGCTGCCGCCACACAGCAGAGAAATGAAGGAGAGCAACTCAACAGTTTGCTGTAGAAGTCAGGAGTATTATTAGTGTGTCACATTCATCTTTCTTCTGCCATAAACGATCGGTCCCATTCAGCTTCCCTTTACAAAAAAGTTACCATGGTAACTAAAGTTCCCCCACCAAAACTGTGAAGAACATTTTTTTTTAAGTATTTTATTTTATTATGTATTTTTCTTTTTAAAGTATTTTGCCCCTTTATTTTCACTGTAAAGGTTTTCAAAAAATATTGAATGATTAGTTTTATGCCTTTAACCACACCAGCCATCTAATTAAAATGTTCATTTGAAGCAAATATAAGTATTTGAAATACTTGATCTTGAAGTAGTTAATCATTTTTAACCAGAAAAAGTTCTGAGTGAATCATACGGTCTGCTTATTTCATGAAGCACTGGAAACGACAATCAAAATCAACATAATAATTTAAACATATTGCTTGTATAATCAATTGTTAACTTAATTATAACACAAAATATTCAATATTCATAAAAAATATATATTCAGTGCTGTTATTGTTGACTAAAACTAAGACTATTAATACATAGTTGGTAAATGAAATTAAGTACAAATAAAAAAAGAAAAATAAATAAAAAAAGAAAATATAAATATAAGATGAAAATGTACATTTCTAATTACAACTACTGAAAAGTCTATTTTAAATTGAAGTAAAAATAATTCAAATACTAAAAAAAATGTAAGATAAATATTTCGATATTTTAATAGTTTGAATTAGCTTTTTTTCTATTTTTGTCTTTTCAGTTTGCATTTTAATTTTAGATTAAGTTTTAGTGTGTTTACTAAATTAAATTAAATAAGCAATACAAATATAATAAAATATAATGTAATAATAATAAAATACAATATAATAATATTAGATATATTTAAATATAAAAAAACTAATAAAAATGGCAAAAGTGCATAAACATGCTAAAACCTAAACTAAAATGTAAACTAAATATATATATATATATATATATACACACACACACACACACACACACATACAAATATATATATATATATATATATATATTCAAAATATAAAAAAATACTAGAATTGTATATAAATAATACTAAAATAAAGCTGATATATAGAGTATGGGATGAGTCGTGTGCGAAATTTTAACACTTAGAATTGTTCATTATGAGCAACAGCAATAGTGAATGTCACTATGTCTTTATGCCAAATGGGAATCTTTGCTGTATTAACTAAACTAAGCTAAAAGACAGCTTCCAGCTGAATCTGGTGTTAGCCGATGGTGAACAGCCAATCAAAGTCATCATGGTCACAAAACACGCCGTCGGGTAAAGGGTCGTCAGTACCAAGCAAACCTGACAGCTTAATTAGCTACACTGCTAAAGATTTATTGGTTTATCAATCAGCGCCTGCGGCTGAAGCCCTGGGCAGAGAGAGAGAGAGAGAGAGAGAGAGAGCGGTGAACTCTGTGACCTGTGACACACACACACACACACACACACACACACACACACACACACACAACGGCTCTCTTAAACCCTCACTGTTCACACTCTACATAGGCAGTTAACCTGAAATCAAACGTCCTACATATGCAGCAACTCACTGTGCCACACAAATAGTGCTGCTCACATGATTCACAACTGATTCCAGTCAAGTTCAACCAGCACTTGATTACATTCGAGGCTCTTAGAAGTGTCAAATTTATCATTAGGATACCTGCGGATTTGGCCAAAACAAGTTGTTTTGGAAGGCTGCATCATGTTGCATCAGTACAGCAACTTTAAATTCAGTTTGGAACAGAACTAAAGTCTGTTTATATGATACTGCAACATTCAAACACAAATACAAATTCTCATATTTGCACAATATCTTTGTCTCATAAACACTGAAGCTATCATGCAATTTATCATACTATAGGTCTTACTGTAAAGCCATAATATATGAATGAATACCAAGACAGCAAAGTTATACTGAGGAAAAAAAAGAGATGAACTATTCATAAACTACTTAATCATATTTTATATTCAAAATTTATACAAAACAGTGTTGTTATTGTTGACTAAAAATAAAAATATTAATAAATAATTTTCGGTAAATGAAATATAATATACAATATAAGAAATATATAAATAGAAGTTTTTTTTTTCTTAATATACTTATACAGTGGGGCAAATAAGTATTTGATACACTGCCGATTTTTCAAGTTTTCCCACTTACAAAGAATGGAGAGATCTGTAATTTTCATCGTAGGTACACCTCAACTGTGAGAGACCGAATCAAAAAAAAAATCCAGAAAATAACATTGTATGATTTTTTAATAATTAATTTCCATTTTATTGCATGAAATAAGTATTTGATACAATAGAAAAATAGAACTTAATATTTGGTACAGAAACCTTTGTTTACAATTACAGAGGTCAGACGCTTCCTGTAGTTCTTGACCAGGTTTGCACACACTGCAGCAGGGATTTTGGCCCACTCCTCCATACAGGTGTTCTCCAGATCTTTCAGGTTTTGGGGCTGTCGCTGGGCAACATGGAGTTTCAGCTCCCTCCATAGATTTTCTATTGGGTTCAGGTCTGGAGACTGGCTAGGCCACTCCAGGACCTTGAAATGCTTCTTACGGAGCCGCTCCTTAGTTGCCCTGGCTGTGTGTTTGGGGTCATTGTCATGCTGAAAGACCCAGCCACGACCCATCTTCAATGCTCTTACTGAGGGAACGAGGTTGTTGCCCAAAATCTCGCAATACATGGCCCCATCCATCCTCCCCTCAATACGTTCTTTTTATAGATTGAGGTCATTACTGTAAATGAGTAATTTAGACTGTAAAAATGTATTAAATTAAATGATCAAAAAATAAAGCCAATAAAACAAATAAATCTATAAATTAAATCATATATATTATTATTATTATATCTATACATTTTGGGGGGAAATGTGTTTAATTGTCATGAAAATAGTGTCACAATAGACACAGGCTTTATTTCCTTTCAAATAAAAATAATTAATAATAAATCAAATAATGCCAACACTTTACTTGAACTCTTTATGTATAATGCATTATATAAGTATTAATTTCATAAATAATTGCAACCAAGATTAAAATGCATTAGAATATTTGCAGATTCCTTACTATACCTGAAATATGTTGTTTGTTGTGTTTTAATGCACTGAATTGATACGTAGTATAATGTATTATAACTATGGTTACAATTATTATAGGGTGCATAATTAATGCATTAAAAATACTGCATTATATAGAAAAGCTTCAAGTAAAATGCAACCAAAGAAATTAATAATAAATATGAATTCCTCGATTTTTCAAATTGACTTTATGGTGAAATATGACCCGGACATTTTCTTGACCAGTTTCATGAGATGCAACCGAAAAGAGACAGAACAACAGGGCGAGCTGCCATTTTTACTGATTCTCTGCTTTTGTCTGCATGCATCTCTCTGTTTTTTTATATCTTTCTCTCAGTCTGTCTCTATACACTCCTCAATGTGTCGACACACACACACACACACACAGTGGCTGGAAGGGTGCATTTGAACGTGATTTTAAGAGGCATGTTCTTAGCCCACAGCTACAGGAGACAGTATTTTTAGAAACTTCCCCCCCTGAAAATCCACTTTAAGGGCCAAAATATAAGAGATCAGACTATGATGGACAGGAACAGAAAGACTCAGATCAAATCTGTGTGTGCACACCTGTATGTATGTGTGTGTGTGTGTGTGATCAGACGGCAGGAGTTTCATGCAAAGCTGATTAATGAATGAATGAATGTATGAATGAATGAATGATTGTTAGATGTGAAGGTCATCTGTGTTTGCTCACCTGTCGCTCGCACCGTCTGTGTTACGACCACAGGCATCCGTATCTGACCTCCAGGACCCACTGCCCTCTTGATACCCTACAAACATACAAGAGTTACTGAACAGTCTTACAGTCTACAGCGAGTCAATCAGTCAGTTTGGCACATATAGACATGCATCAGCATCCTCAGATTTAATATTTGATATATTAAATCTAGGAATGGACAACGATTAATCGCATCCAAAATATAGGTTTTGTTTACATAATATACATGTGTGTACTGTGTATATTTATTATGTATATATAAAGACACACACATACAGTACAGTATATATTTATAAAATATTTACATGTTTATATTTTATATTCACATAATTTATTTTATATATAAATATATTTATGACATATTTTTCTTAAATATATACATGCATGTGTGTGTATTTATATATACATAATAAATATACACAGTACACACATATATTATGTACACAAAAACGTTTATTTTGGATGTGATTAAACACAATTAATCGTTTGACAGCACTAATTAATTTCTAAAGTCCCTAAATGATCAAAATGTTGAAAACCCTGTCGCACACAATCTACATGCCTTCTGTCGTCTGATTGATAGTTTAGACTTTTTTAGCTAGTAAAATGCTTTTTAGTATAATTGTACACCATCCAGCTTCAGCTTGTGCTTCACGTGTCTTTTTGCTGTCAAATCTGATTTTTATCCAGAAAACGTAAGACATAAGTGATATTTTCAGATGAACACTTACTGGACTGAAGCAGCTCGGCTTTACTGGATTCTCCATCAATCATTTTCTAGAAAAATCAGTGCGTCTCAAATCTGATCATCAGGATCTTTTGAGGAGCGTTTATTTCCAGAAGCTTTACTTTCACTGTTCCTCAGCGGAGGAATGATCTTCACAAGCATCTCACATCTTCTGAGGAACGTTTATTTATTCATCTCTCAATCATCACTGTGTGGCCTTGCATTATACACTGTCAGAAAAAAAGGTACAAAAGCTGTCACTGGGGCAGTACCTTTCCAAAAGGTACACTTTTGTACCTTTTAGGTACTAATATGTACACTTTAGGTACTAATATGTACCTAAATAAATAACTAATATGTCTTTGGGTACAAAGGTGTGCCTTTTGAAAAGGACCGTCCCAGTGACAACTTTTGTACCTTTTTTTCTGAGAGTGTATGTTTTGATCATCAAACTAAGCATTTAAATCTCATCTTACAATATATATTATTATATAGATATATTATTGTGGATACAGAGTGATGACTAATATTTATATAATTTTATGTAAGTATCAGCTATACTGTTATAAAGATCTCATTGATTTATATCGCAAGCATCATCCTTTACATCAACTTTTTGGCCATATAAATATCAGCATCTTTTTTGCTCAGTTTGGGCCTCTGAATAAAACAGCTGTTAATTTTTTATTTTTCACTATATCATACTATATGAGCCATAAAAACCTGATGAATCAAATATGATACTCAACTAATTTTTTATTTTGCCTAAAGGTTCAACTGTTCTGTTTCAAACAATTGGATGTTTCTGACTATTACTTCATATGTCAGGCTTTATGGGGTTAATGTGACATATTTGTAACTTGCATAATAAGACTAAGAACGTGTATTCATCCAATAAATAGTCTATTTAATTTTATGTAGACTTTAAAATGTAGGTCCTTTATTCACAGAATTTTAAAATGATTCCACCATGTTGTCATGAAGGTGATTAATAAAATGCACATCTAGGTGTGGTCTGAAACACACAGGCTGAATTTTTCCCAAGCACATCAGAGAGAGAGAGAGAGAGAGAGAGAGAGAGGGAGAGAGAGAGATACATTACATTTTACAACTCATTATAATAGAAAAGTTATTTTAAAATGTAATAATATTTCCCTGTTTTTACTTTGTATTTTTCATCAAATAAATGCAGCCTTGGTGAGCAGAAAAGACTTTCAAAATCATCAAATACATTTTTTTTTTATTCAAAAACATTGAATATATCAATTAAACAGCCAAGTACATGACATGTTTAATTTGAAAAAAAAAAAAAAAACTCTTTGGACCTAAAATAAGTAACAATGGCTTGAAGCAAGTTTTAAGCATGAATAAGAATAAGCATGATATGCAAATATGTGTGGACATATGTTAAGGACATGGCTGTGATTATGATTTTGGAATGAGACTACTTGGTTTCAATAAAAGTTCTGGGTGACTAAAGCGGGAGTTTTGAGTTCAAACTCTCTTATTCATATAAATGCAAGATGTACATCACGGAAACTTCTATCTGATGCATCTGGATTTTAGGGTGTTTTTAGGGCGTGTACAGTATGTCTTTAGAACATTTCCTGTCTGATGTTAAATGAATGTTTAGAAAGCACCTTTCAGATGTTTATAATATAGAATGTATTAAAAATCTTCTTCTTTAAATAAACATATCATATGTTAGATATCAGATACTAGTTATGGTGTGGTTATATATTGTTTCTGCCGAACTGTATGAATGAAAAAGAGACAAGTGGAGCATATTTGAGAGGATGAGAGATCAGCACATACTTGTGGCAGTGCGGTGGTGCTGTTGGGCTGGTGCGGACGCACACTGACACCCGTCTGGACCGGCGTCACGCTGGTTTTGTTGGGCTGCAGAGGCTGCGTGAGAGACTGCTGGCTGTTCAGGAGAGACACACGCAACGCAGGGAGACTTTTCTACAAACACAAACACACACATGCATGCACACAAACACAGAGTTAGTCCCAAAGTAAACATTTAGATGGTCATCCATAAACAATATATATGTAAAGCATGTAGCATTTAATGCAGCAAATGTGATAAACATCCACTAATGTAACCCTGATATTACGTGAGTCGATTCCAATTCAGAATCAACTGCTGAGTTGTATTTCAAATACTCCAATTTGAGTATTTACCCACTGTAGATATCAAATCCAATATATCACAAGCTCATTGGAACCCGTGTATCTGTGCGTAATGGGTTAGGGTTAGTTTCTCATCACCATTTGTCTAGATTCCTGAGGTGGTAATGCAGCCATTTTTCAGTAATTCAACAGACTGGAGCCAATTTTTCTGTCTATTTATACTGTTTCTGCACATTTAAGGCAAGACACTACAGGCAAAACCATTGTTTTTCATTCACCCTAACTCTAACATTGAGGCTATTTTGCTTCTATAACATGTTTTCTTTCAAAAAGAAATCATCCAAAATACAAATGTAAGTGTTACTTTGTCTATTTGTGTCTACAGATCTCAATTAAAGCTGCAAGCAGCATTGACGGGCCCAAGCCATCAGTGCAAAAGCCACCCATTTACAGTAATGCATTTACAGTAACCCTCTGGCAGTCTGGATTTAAGGGTTACAGCAATGAAAGAGTTACACTACAAGATCAAGACACACACACACACACACACAGGGAGAGAACAATATATAAAACTTTGGTAGCACTTTACAATGCTGGTTTCATTTGTTAACTAACTATATTAGTTAAAAATGAACATTAATTAAATAGCATTTATTAATGTTAATTAATATTAATTTCAAAATGTATTAAACCATTATTAAAATGTAAAGTTGTATCTTTTATTTTATTTGTTTTTACTTTTACATTAGTTTATGCACTGTGAATGAACATGAACATAAATATTTGTATTAACTCACATTAAAAAGATTAATAAATGCTGTAAAAATATATTGTTCGTTGTTAGTTCATATTAGTCAATGCATTAACTAATGTTAACCAAAAAGACCTTATTGTAAATTATTACCAACACTTTTCATGATCTATAACCATTTAAAAATATATATTCTAATGATCTATAAGCATTTGTGAAATAATTATAGAAAACTATATTGCCAGTAAAGGGTTTGTGCTACCTGAATCATTCACAATAATAAAAGCATCTCATGTGTTTCATTTCAATTCAATTTCCAGTGTGTGAACTGTCATTTTGTTCCTCATAGAGGCCGAACAGTCCGACAAAGATCATTAACCTCAGTAATCAAAGACATCTCGCTGAGATCCCAGGCCCCGTGAGGACACCGCGGGCTGCCGATGGCTATTTCTGGAGGATTTTGACGTAAGCAAACTAACATTGCATGACAGCGCGGCTGCATTGGCGTGTCAGTTCGGACCGGGCGGGATGTGACACGTATTGTGCCTGGCTGGACACACCTGCTGGCTACTGACCGCAAGGAACGAGAGGAAGGGGACTCGCGTGTGTTAACGTACCTTCAGGAAAGGGACCAGGTACGGCTGCGGAGACGACTTCAGCTCGGACTGTAGGCGGCTGGTGAACTCCTCCGGATCGATCTTCGCATCCTGAGAGCAGCGACAGCAGATGATCAGATGGATTTGAACGTGTACAGTGGAACAAAACATGCAAACTACTAACATTATGCTAGTTCTACCGTTCCTCTTGGTATTAGACTGTTCAATGAATGTTATGTGGATGCTTAGGGTCCTTTTTGCAGTTGCACGTGTATGTTTCAAAACTTTTTATGTTTATGTGCGTGTGTGAATGGATGTATATTTTGTTTATGTATGGACAGACGTATATGTATATATATATATATATGTGCAAATGTATACCTTTTATTATTTTTTGGAGTAGTATTATTGAATATGTTTTGAAAATGTTATTTTTACGTTTTTGTATTTTATGTTTTGAGTGTTTTGAGTGTACTTCCTGCTATAATTCAATCTCAGTATTGCTAAGCAAGCATAAAATTAAATAAACTTCAAACAAACTTCAACTACAGGAAGAGGAGATGATTAGTGCAGGAGGAAAATGAATTAACCTGTGATCTTACATGAGGCAAATTTCATTTTCAAAACACAGCCCTGCAGATTTCTGACGATTTGCAAAAGAGGACTAATATTAGCTGGTTTGATGATGCAGAGTTTAAAAATATCAATAAAAGCTTTTCTTAAGATTTTTTTCCCCCCACAAATTAAGAATTATATATGTACCAGCTTTAATACACTTATCAAAACAACAGAATAATGACAAAAGTTTCGACAAAAAATATAACAAATGTATCATTTAACTTACAATCTACGAAGGAATAGAAAAATGTGTTCCAACATGTTAATGTCAAAGAAAATTGTATACTTTTTTTCCCACAAAATCTGTAATTTTCTGTCTCTGTTTGGATGCAGTAAAACACCTGTCAGAAAACAGAAAACATCTGGCTCATGTTTGCATTTTCTTCTGTCACCGGCCATAATTTATTTATTTTATTTTATGTATTTATTTAGTCATTTATCAGACGCTTTTATCCAAAGTGACTTACAAATGAGGACAACAGAAGCAATCAATTGTAGTATTAAAACAACTAAAACAGATCCACAACTAAAAGCTAAAACTTTATAAATATTACCTATACACATTTTAAAAATAAAAAGATTCATTAAAAATGACAAATGCATACAACAAAATTTCAAAACTTAACATATAAATGAAAAACTAAAAATAAAGCTAAAAACAATTCAAAATATTAAAGAACAAAAGGTATAAGAGTATAATAATGATTCTAACATAACACTAAGCCAAACACCAAAAAAACAACTACATATGTGTGTGTGTACAACCACACACACATACATATATACTGTATATGACATACACATTTATAAATTCAATATATATATTATTTCATTTCCATTTAGTTTGTTGAAGTATTAAAATAACTCAAATTAAATCAAACTAAAAACTTAATAAAAGACCTATACAGACATAATGTAACTTCTAAAATTAAAATTAAATTCTGACTTTGAAATCAGAATTAGGCATAAAATAATGTCATGTGTCTGAAAATGGTCTTAGAATTGATCAAATGGTTGTAATCTGTCTGGATTCAGATATGAATCATGTGTTTGTGTTGTTTTTCTATTACGATAATACAAGACTCCTTCGTGAATGTCTGTAAAAGCAAAAATGATACAAAAAGCACCATATTTTGTGAGAATGTGTGACGTTTAGAGCAAATCAGACACAATTTTTGAAATCAGCACTACAAAATTACTGATAAACAAGTATTGGATTTCATTAAGCACATATGATGCAGGCCAGTGTAATATTCCGGATGTAAAATGAGGCCTTTCACGATGACATATAAAGCAAAAAATGAACGCTAATGATTTATGAATTCAGATGTTTCTGGAGCAGAAGCGCCACACGTACCAGTAAATCCTGCACCAGCGCTTTCACGTTTCGAGACGTCTCTGGGGAAGGGGAATTATGGGACGCCAACTTGATCAACGTCGCCAAGAAGTTCTTGCACTTCTTCACGTTCTCCTGCATCTCCTGATGAGAGAGTGAGATGCTTCGTTAGTTTTAAGGACATGTGGAATCAGACCTCAGTGATGACACATCACAGGCCAAGCTGAAGCGTGTGTCTTGATTTGGACGGCTGCTCGTGTTAGTAAACAGTTTATCCGGTTCAGACTCACACAGACGCGCTCTGTTGTGCTTTTGTTGCCATAATCAGCGATCGAGCCTCACGGGTAAATAAAGTATTTTAATGAAATCTACTAAATTCCATTTAAATGCTACAAAGCTGTCCATCATTTGAGGTTAGAGAACGTGTCAATCAAAAGTCTTTTTTAAGGCAGATGGCATGCTACGCTCACACGGGCTGATCAGCTCCATGATGTCTACAATGAACTCAAATACTATTAATAAACTGGTGATTCTCATGCACACAAAATCAAAAGAAAATTAAGCCTATTTTTATATTTTATGCATTGCAATATTATTAATTAAACAATTAAACACAGTTATGGATCAAGATGTTTTACTTTAGTTTTTTTTTTTATTCATATTCTTAATTGATAGTATAAATTAGTATAAATTAAAGGCAGAACAACGAAGACTATCATGACATATAAATAACTTAAAATTTTAATAATATAGCATTGTGTTTTTATAACATTATGAATAAGTAAGAAGTAATGAAATGCAATTTTTTTGCAGTAAAATTTTGAGAATATGGAAGGAAAATGTCATGAATTCTCATAGAAATAAAGTCACACAATTTACTCTTTATGCAAAACTTGTTTTATTATTATTTTTTTATTTTTTATTTAGGGGATAAACATGACCCATACATGTTCTTGACATGTTTGTGAGATTCACCTGGTAATGCACTAGAAAATGCTACAAATTATTTCTATTTCAAATAAAAGCTGTTATTTTTGCTCTATTCATCAAAGAATCCTAAAAATAAAATGTATCACAGTTTCCACAGAAACATGAAGCAGCACAACTGTTTTCATTGATAATAATCAGAAATGTTTCTTGAGCAGCAAATCAGCATATTATACTGATTTCTGAAGATCATGTGACACTGAAGACTGGAGGAATGATGCTGAAAATACAGCTGCGCATCACAGAAATGAATTACATTTTACAATATATTGACATAGAAAACAGTTAATTTAAATAGTAATAACATTTCACATTTTACTGTTATTTTTGATCAACTAAATGCAGCTTTGTTGAGCAGCTTTCAAAAACATTTAAAAAATCATACCAACCCCAAACTTTTGTATGGTAGTGTATGTGAACATGCATGTCTATGTTTGCATGCAGATGTTATGCCCAGATGTCTATAGACTGGCACTGCCGCATGTGTGTTTGTTTGTCTATGCATGAACGTGCTGGCAGCTGTGTGTGTGTGTGTGTGTGTGTGTGTGTGTGTGTGTGTGTGTGTGTGTGGTTCGGATGGAGCTTAACCAAGTCCTGACAGTTAACCAGGGAGGCTTGAGGGGTCCAACAGTCACTCACTTGAGCTGAGAAAAAGAATAGATAAAGAGAGAGAGAGAAACTTGCAGGCTTCGATACAGGAGGGCATACAGACCTGGGAGACAAGCGAAGCTCCGGGGGCTGGGGCGGCTGCGCTCTGCGGGGCCAGTGGCATCTGAGTGAGGGGCCCCTGGGGGCCCAAGGCTGGCTGGACCTGCTGGGGAGCTGTCACTGCCACGGCGGCTGCCATGGGGGCCTTCTAGAGGAGGAAGGAGCAGAGACACGGAGATAAACACAAGCTGACGTCTGCCTGCCAGCAAGGCCACAGAGAACAGGAGAGACGACCACAGCGCGCCCTGTCACATCGCGTGTCCCGAGAGAGCGGGGGACGACAGGAGCCAAGAGAGAAAGAGAGAGAGAGAGAGATGGAGGAGGAAGAACTCAGAGCACCTGACAACTCACAGTTCGCTTGGTTTGCTCCTGAGGCGCTCGCTCTCCATCTCTTACAGCCATGCTGAGTTTTTACTGTCTGTTCTTTGTCTTTATGTAAGAAATCTAATAAAACACAACTTTATAGATAAGCACAAGAGTGCAGGAGTAGATTTAAAAGCACAACACTCCAAACACATTAATTTCAATCAGATTACAATGCAGATAGTTCTGGTTTTGGTTGTTGATTAGTCCATGCAGTGCTCACACAAATATTGACCGGACTAGATCTATTACCGCAACATTTTGTACTTTTTGACCAAAATATTTCTGGTGCTTTTGCTGTAATGATAAAGCTGCTTATTTTCAAACTTTTATATTTACAGAAACTAGCAGTGTCAATATATTTAAATAATTAAATAAAATAATAATAAATCATTAAAATAATAATAAATCATTAAAATAATCAAACAACATAATTCCAGAAATTATTTTCTGGACTATTTTTTGCAACTATTTTTTATGATTTTTTTATATTTTTTTATATTCCTGCCAAATAAAATATTTTAGAGCTTTACATAACTAGAAAAATGTGTGTGAAAAATGTGTGTGTGTGTGTATATATATACACACACACACACACACACACACACACACACACACACACACACATAGTTTTTGTTATTGTTTTGAGTTAGATTTTCTGTTTTCACTTTCATTTTAGTTAAAGGGGTCATATGACGCAATCTCATGTTTTCCTTTGTCTCTGGAGTGTTAGAAGCTGTTCGTGCATATATAAGATCCGTAAAGTCGCAAAGATTACAGTCTCAAACCCAAAGAGATATTCTTTATAAAAGTTAAGACTCATCCACACCTTCCTAAAACACCTCTTTCAAACAATCCCCCAAAAATCGACGTCACTGTATGGAAAGATCTGCATAACACCGCCCAAATGTATACATAACTTTCATTCTCGCTGTAGTATTGTTGCCACCGCCGCCATGTCGTGGAGACGCTGTGTGTTTCCAAATATGGTAAGGGGTAACATTTCCGTCACACGCTTGAGGTATTCGGCCAATCACAACGCACTGGATAGCTGGCCAATCACAGCACACCTCGCTTTTCAGACCGATGAGCTTTGTAAAAATCGACACGTTTCAGAAAGGCGGGGCATAGAGGAGAAACAATAATGTACAGTATGTGGAAAATAATGTGGGGTTTTTTTAACCTTAAACCGGCATAAACACATTTCATTACACCAAATACACAACATAATGTTCTTTTTAGCAGCATCATATGACCCCTTTAAAGTTTTTTTTTATTTTTAATTTAAAATTATTAAAATAATTTAATAATTTAACTTATTAGTTTTATTTTATTTAGTTTTAGTTATTTTAGTACTTTTTACTATTTTGGTAAATGTAAAAAGTTTCTGGCTGAAATAAAATAAGTTTAATTGTTTTATATTTTATTTTATTTCAGTTAAACGTTTATTTTATTTCAAGTAATTAAATCCATTTTTTTTAGCTTTAGTTAACGATAATAACCCTGAATCACACTTATAAAAAAAATTCCTTCATATATTCAGGTTTTCCAAGACCGTGTGAATCCTGGCTCTTAGATAAAATGATGCTTATTGAGGGAACCAATTAAAAAAATGTCAGTTTATATGTTGATTTTCAGTTTATTTTAAAGCTTTTTTCTCTTATTTTATTTTTATATATATATATATATATTTTTTTTTTACGTCTGTTTTTAGGTTTGCTCTGGCTCTTTTTTTTAACGCCTCTACGTTAGCAGGTCAACGTAGAGGCCAGCGTACAGACAGAGAACCTGGAAGTCGCTTGCAGGAAGTGTCACGGAGGAGAAGAAAAAGTTGAATAAAGTCGATATTTTGTTTTCTTTGCGCACAAAAAGTGTTCTCGTCGCTTCATAAAATTCAGATTGAACCACTGATGGCAGATGGACTATTCTGACGATGTCTTTCATACTTTTCTGGACCTTGTCAGTGTAAGTTACTTGGCAGTCAATGGGATCGTCACGAGCCTCCCGGTTTTTATCCAAAATATCTTAAATTGTGTTCCGAAGACGAACGAAGCTTTAACGGGTTTGGAACGACATGGGGGTAAGTGATCAATGACAAAATGTTCATTTTGGGGTGGAGTAACCCTTTAAATCTTAATTTCAAAATTGCTATAATACACAGCCTTGAGTGACTGAATATTAAATTCTCCTCTGAAGCTCTATGGTCATATACAGCTGACATTTCTATCATCTTAAAGCTTACATAAACATAAAACAACTGATGCAGATGAGTGGGAAACTGAGAGAGAGAGAGGGTGGGACAGGGCAGATGCTCACAGCGGGGCCGGCTGCGGTGCTGGTCTGGGCCGAAGCGCTCGGTGAACTAAACTGGACCAGTTTAGTTTGAGCCGCAGGAGCGGGACGAATCGCCTGAGTGCTAACAGGAGACTGAGAGCGAGAGAAAGAGAAAAGCAAGAAAGGAGGGAGGAAACAGAGAAGATTGAGAGTAGCATCACAGAGGAAAGGACGAGTCACAGGATCTGAAAACCAGTTGTGTTTCTAAGATCCCAGTCTGAAACTATATATGTGCACTTCTGATGAAGAACTAGTCACTGGATGAGTAACTGCATTGAAAGAGTTTTGTCAGTGACACACACGCTCATTTCTTCAGTGTTGTGTGCGTTCACTAAGGCTGCTGGGCAATTAGAGAAACATTATGAGTTCAAACTCATTCAGATTAATTAATAGCATTTATGGCATATTGTTAATTATCACAGAAAAAAAACTGGTTTGTTTTTCAGTTCATATAAAACTCATGTTTGTAGTAATGGACATCTATGGGCTAAGACATTCAGATGTGCAGCTTCAAAACTTCACTTAAGCTGTAAAGTGCATAAATCATCCACACAACTGATGCACTTTCAATTCAGTGAAAATTGAACTGAATAGGCCACAACACACAACTTAACCGGAAATGAAATGAAATAATAAATAAATAACTGAATAAGTAACACATTCAATGCATTCTGGGAAATGAAGTGTCCAGAAATCTATCAATCTACTTGTAAAAGGCCTATAAAGCCTTCCAACATGGTTTTCTTTGAATTTCAGTCCATTTTAATTCTATTTCCTGTTTGCTAATTGGAAACACACATGTTGAATTATTATTTTACAATTGACACACACTTAAGTAATATAGATTCAAAATATATTCTAAATATAGCCTATAAAATATATACTGTAAAATAAAATATGCAAAATATATTCGTCAATTTGAACTGAATAGGCCACAACACACAGGAAGCTTAACCGGAAATGAAATGAAATAATAAATAAATAACTGAATAAGTAACACATTCAATGCATTCTGGGAAATGAAGTGTCCAGAAATCTATCAATCTACTTGTAAAAGGCCTATAAAGCCTTCCAACATGGTTTTCTTTGAATTTCAGTCCATTTTAATTCTATTTCCTGTTTGCTAATTGGAAACACACATGTTGAATTATTATTTTACAATTGACACACACTTAAGTAATATAGATTCAAAATATATTCTAAATATAGCCTATAAAATATATACTGTAAAATAAAATATGCAAAATATATTCGTCAATATTTAAATATAAGATGTCTGATGAAGGCCTATAGTTGGCCAAAACATCACAGTTTTTAAAGAAATGAGTGTTGAACTAAAAAAAAAATGTTTGCACTTTTTGTATTGAATCTTCTTTACAGTTGGTGCATTTTATTTTTACCGAATTGTAATATAAAATTATTTCTTATTTCTAAAATATTCAAAATATGCTAAATAATTCTTAAATATATATAATAATTCAAATTGCTTGTGATTTTTGGGGTGACTTACGACCTAGGGAGTATATAAATATATATATATATATATACACTGTATCTCTTATATATATATATATATATATAAATATTTACATATAAAGTTAGTTATATATATATAATATAGATTATCATATTTATAAATTGTATATATAAATTATTTCTTATATCTAAAATATTCAAAATATGCTAAATAAACATTAAATGTCTTATATAAAATAATGTCTTGTTTTTAAATAATTCAAAATATGCTAAATAATTCTTAAATATACAAAAAAAAATTATTTCTTGTATAAAGTAACTACATTTCGAAAATATTCAAAATATGCAACTATTATATGCAATATATAATCATTTTCAATTCTTGTGATTTTCAGGTGGATTCTGACCTGCTGTTCCTGACAGGAATCATCCTTGTACTGCAGAGCCTGATATGATTGTGTCTAGAGGGGGACAGACGGGTGAGCATCCCTCCGCTGGGGGGCAACGCGGAATGTGAGGAGCAATAATCACGTGAGCGGGAGCAGAGCCCTGGACTCAGAGAGACACGCCGTTCAACAGCACGCACTCTCTCCTCACAGATGCTCGTCTCTGGGCCCCTGCAGAGAGAGCGGAGCCCGAGGGCCCCTGAGACGCGGAAGAGCTCGGGGGCCGCACACATGCACACGTATGACGGCGACACCACAGAACGAGTCTCTCGCTCACACTGAAAGTTGAGTTCACGTTTACAGCGATCAGGCAGTTGGAGGATAAATGATTAAACACATTCGGAGGGAAAGAGGAACATCTTCCGCCACAGAGAACCGGAGAATGACTGACAGCAGGATGAAGAGAGACGCCTGGGAATATAAACCCTCACCTCACAAACGCAACGCTGATGTCCTGAACAGAGTTTACCAGGGAAACACAATATACAGCTACTGCTGCTGATACTTTATTGTGAATTATTGCACAATTACTACAATAAAACTGTGGCAACAAGTATTAGTCATGCACCACAACCTAATGGTTAATACCAAATGACTGAAAGGACTTTACTGCTATAATAACAACTAATTATGATACCTTATGATATTCTGAATAAGTTTTACATTTTAAAACTATATAGTGTGTCTAGCTCTAGAGGCACAGCATCAAACATAGGCCTATAGCAATTTTGATTTTAATTTTAAGGTTGCACAAAAAAAAGGCTGTCCATTTTTTCTGCATTGGCTTGTTTCTTAATCTAGCTTTCTGACAAACCTGCAATTGTGTACTACAAATATTACTGGCTCTGTGACTAATTAATTGCCTTTGATCCTTTACTGTAAGTTGCTTTGAACAAAAGCATCAGCTAAATGCAACGCAAATATAAATGTAAAAACATACTAATCTGCTAAACTTCAGACATTAAATGTTTTGCAATTTGCAATGCTTTAAAAATGTTTGATTTATTAACACCAGTGTTGGGTTAAAACGTTGAGCCACTAATAAATGCGAGCTTCTGGCGCCATCTGGTGGCACTAAGTGAACATTACACTCTCACACACTAGACCTCCATTAAACCACTGTGATATTATCATAAGTTATAAGCATTGGTAACTTATTAGTAAAATATCTTTTCTTTGCATAATTTGAAAAAAATACATAAAATAATATAAAAAAGGCAAATGTGATGGTTGCTGCCTACTTGTGGCCATACACAGTAAACTATAATTCTCATATTAAAAAATAAGCAATAACAAAAACTTATCCTCAAATAAATTAATACCCACAAATATATTAAATTCTATATAAAATAATTATAATGTTCAATAGTTTATATGCTCTTATTAAGACTTATTCAAATTTAGTTTGGTAAGTATATGAAAACTGTAAAAACCCTGGCATTAAACCAAGAGGGACATTTTTAATGGCAGGAATATTCTGAACATGGATATTAATATGTGAACAGAAAAACAACAGAGACCAGCTAACTGTATTTTTACTCACGTTTTGAAACCACTGTGAAGAATGCATTTGATACAAACTGTTAAGTGTTTAATTTACACAGACAGCACTGAAGAAAGAGGCTTATTTTCGCTGTCACTGAAGAGCTGATGTCAGCACTGACTAAAGCACACCGCTAGATGTCAGCAGTGAACCTCTGCCCTCAATACTGCTGACTGTTCATCTGACAAAACTCTGAAGAGAAAAAACTATAGTTTACAAGGTTTACCAGTGTACAGATGGTCAACATGAAAATTATTTCTGTGCACTGATGATTTAAATTTTGCAAAAATATGCACAAGAAAATAGTGACCGTCAAGTTTCTGAATTAATATCTCTTTTATTGACAAATGGGTTTCAAAACGGTGCAGACGTCTTCCATCAAATGCATGTTTGACAGGAAACACTCAGTTTGATCTCTGCTGTGTTCACGGGGTTAAGATTTTTTTATTGCTTTTATAATTTCCATGCATTTGGATTACACCACTTTAACATAAACTAATAAACTTTATGTGATGCATATTTGTAACAATAAAGAGATCTGATTTCTGCACTTCATGGTATTGTTTATTACTAACTATTTGCATCTTTTTGGTTTTATTTAAACAATGATATGTTGAAAATGCATTTATTCAAATAGCTTAGAATAAGCATAAATCTGTTCATTGGGAAAACAATTACATTTAACAAGAAGCAATTCAATTTAACAATAAAAATGTATTATTTTACAATATAATACTGTAAATAAAATAATGGATTCATGAAAATAAATAGCGTATCTTATTATTAAAAATTTTTTTAAATACTTTTTATTGTTTTATTGTGTATTTTTTATTTTATTTCTTATGTATTCTAATTATTTTGATTATCTTCAAGCACTTTTATGTAAAGAACAATGCATTATGTATGAAATGTGCTATTTTAATACATTTTCCTTTAGCACGCTTTATGTAATCGACCCAGCTAAGCTGCACTGAAGACATTCAGAGTGTTGTTTAGGTGTTTTAAACAGAGCAGTTTGTTCTTATAAAACAAAACCATGGACACATTTAACAGCAGATCACTGATTACACACATAATTAAACTCAGACAGCTGTCGCCATCAAATCTGAAGTTAGTTTGAAATAATGATCAGATTTGACTGGTTTTATAACTAGTGCTTAAACACATTCAGTCTGAGAGTGAGAGGGCAACAGCTGAATCTGTCTAAAGCTATTTTTACTGAAAGAAAGTGCAAGTTAACTGTAGACTGATGAGGAATCATTCTTCATCATTCAAATCTAAAGTAAATAAAAATGATTTCTCTTTGCTAGACTTGAGACTGTCATCTGTGAGCAGTGTGAAAGTCATTTGTAAGATATCAAGTCACTTTATGATCTACTTTCTGCTCATTATTGACCGTTTCTGCATCACGATGACCACCGAACTCATCAGTCATCATCCAAATGCAGCGATGCAAAGCTCATCTACACGAATTATCATTTCAACTCCAGATGCTTTTACTCATTTTGGCTGGTTTTAGGTTCAGATCTCATCCAAACTTTCACCATTCAGCACCTTCAGCAAAAAAAACACCTGTATGTTTAAACTAAAGTTACTGATGTTACATTAGAGGATTCAGATCATGTGTTTGTTCAGGCATATGGATCAAATACGGAACAAGCTATATTAAGTTCAAACGTATGAGATTGAAACAAACTGGATTTATTGATGATAAATATTTAAACCTAGTTATTGTGTATTTAAAACACATTCAGTTTATTAGTACTATTACAGAAATCTGACCCGTTTCATTCATGTATGACTGACAAATATGCATCACATTAAGCTGTGTGATCAAAAATGATGGACAATTCATATGCAATTCAAATACACAAATCTTAAATGTAGTTCTAAAGATTTCTGTATGATTTGTAGTATACAGATCAGTGTTTCTAAAAGTCAAATGTTTCATGAAATTGAGTTCTGCTCCATCAAATCATATCAGGTAAGTGTCTACTAGTGCGAATAACCGTGAATTACACAGCATCTGTGCACAGGTTGTTATTATTATCATATCAAATTACCTGCGTTTCATCTTTACTGGGACTCTGCAGAAGCGTCACTTCAGGAGGGAGTTTAAAGATCACAATATGAATATGATCACTGTTGTGTGTCTTTATTTGTGACCCTGGACCACAAAACCATAAGGGTCGATTATGAATAAATAAGCTTTCCATTGACGTATGGTTTGTTAGGATAGGACAATATTTGGCTGAGATACAACTATTTGAAAATCTGGAATCTGAGGGTGCAAAAAAATCTAAATATTGAGAAAATCATCTTTAAAGTTGTCCAAATGAAGTTCTTAGCAATGCATATTACTAATCAAAAATTAAGTTTTGATATATTTACGGTAGAAAATGTACAAAATATCTTCATGGAACATGATCTTTACTTAATATCCTAATGATTTTTGGCATAAAAGAAAAATCAATAATTTTGACCCATACAATGTATTTTTGGCTATTGCTACAAATATCCCCCAGCGACTTAAGACTCCAGGGTCACATTTCATCTCTGAGTGATGAAGATTTCACAGAATAAAACTTTTTGATAGCAGTAACCAAAGTGGCCGTCTCACTGTGTTTACTGCACAGATGATTTGATTACGATTATTAGTGAAATCATAATTAGTTTAAATGTGAGAGACCTCTGGTGACCCCTAGTTGGGGTCATGACCAGGGTTATTATAGTTTACTAAAACAAAAAAACATATATTTTTAAAACTTATTTTATTTCAGCTATTGCTAAGGCATCATTTGCTTTCAGTTTAACTTGATGTACTAAAACAACTAAAAGTAAAACTTCAATAAAATGAATAAAAACTATACATACATATTAAAAAAACTAATGCAGTTGCAAAACCATACAAATAAACTACTAAAACTTGAACTACAACTAAAATGAAAATATCAAAATAAAAACTATGATGCTCAAATAACTAGCTAGACGTGTCCTTGAGAAACTCTAGAATCACACACTGCACCACACCATCAGATCATCCTGATACTTTCCTTTCAGCAAAAGTACATTTGTAAATATATAAAAGAGAGCGATTTCGAATGTATGATCTCGACTTTCAATCTTAGGGAAAATAACTTTTCAATCAGGAAAAGCAAGCAAACGGATCTTTAATTTGCAGAGGAGTGTGTTCAATCTCAGCAGATATTTTTCAGTTATATCAGTGACACGGAAACATTTCGCAATATCGTCTTTGCAAAAACAATAAAAAAGGTTTGATGAAATGCATCCGGTCTGACTTCAAACTGCTTGATGTCATTCGAGTTTTACAGCGGGAGTTTTGAGAGCAACTTGGTTCTTAAGTTTCAGAGAGAAACCTCATCTGTGCGTCAGATCGCTGTGGCTCTAGAGCATTATGGGCTGTACCTGTGGGGTCGTGACCCTGAACGTGGCCACGCTGGTGGGTGTGGAGGGCCGCGGCGAGATGCTGTTCTGGGCCTGAGCTTGAGCCAGAGCCTGCTGAGGAACCATCACCAGCTGACCCATCTCTGTCCGGACCAGCACCATACCTCAAACACACACAGCACAACACACACGGGTTATTCACCTCTGACCTCTGAAAAATATAACAAAGCATCACAAAACCGTGCTTGAAACATAAAAACTTACAATCAACAACTGAAGCCTTTGGATTCTTCTGAAAGCAAAATTGAATAATTCAGATTCTAAGTCATTCTTATATGGTTTTTTGTTCTTGCATATGTCTGTCTGGTGTCTTTACGTGAATGCATTATGATAAAAAATACATGAAAAAATTAATTTTATAAAAAATTCTAAATTGTAATAAATGTTTTTTTTGTTTTATTTCTTATGTATTCTAATTATTTTCTGATTATCTTTAAATACTTTTATATAAATGTATCATGTATGATATACAGCGCATGCTTCATGTAAACGACCTGCACTAAAGACATTCAAATTAGGATGCTTAGGTGTTTTAAACAGAGCTGTTTGTTTTTGTAAAACACTGACCCGTTTAACTGCAGATCATTACACACACAATTAAACTCAGACAGCTTTCACCGTTAAAAACCATATTAGTTTGAAATAATGATCAGATTTGACTGGTTTTATAACTAGTGCTTAAACACATTCAGTCTGAGAGTGAGAGGGCAACAGCTGAATCTGTCTAAAGCTATTTTTACTGAAAGAAAGTGCAAGTTAACTGTAGACTGATGAGGAATCATTCTTCATCATTCAAATCTAAAGTAAATAAAAATGATTTCTCTTTGCTAGACTTGAGACTGTCATCTGTGAGCAGTGTGAAAGTCATTTGTAAGATATCAAGTCACTTTATGATCTACTTTCTGCTCATTATTGACCGTTTCTGCATCACGATGACCACCGAACTCATCAGTCATCATCCAAATGCAGCGATGCAAAGCTCATCTACACGAATTATCATTTCAACTCCAGATGCTTTTACTCATTTTGGCTGGTTTTAGGTTCAGATCTCATCCAAACTTTCACCATTCAGCACCTTCAGCAAAAAAAACACCTGTATGTTTAAACTAAAGTTACTGATAAAGATCTTCAGATCAGTGTGTTTGGGTTCTTTAAAGCATCGGATCATCAATGCTGCAGCTCCAGATTTGATCACCTCACACAAGTAATTACTTACATCATCATCATCTGGTGTGAGGTTTGTTTACATATACTGAAAATGCATACATAACTCATAGAGAAGAAAGTATCTGGAGACTTGAGCAACACGTTAAAATGTTTGAGTGCCATTATATACAAAATATTGTATTACATAACAAAATGTCAAAGCAAGCATATGTCTGTCTGATATAGAAGTATGGATTTCCCTAGAAAATAATGAAAATAATGAGATGAAAACTAGCATTTGAGTAAATGATGTGAAATATTTTAAGCATCATCTATTTAAAAACATATTTGCTCATTCTTTTTTTTACATGCAGATTAAAACTTATTATTATTATTATTTTTCTATGCTTATGTATCTGTTATGACTCTTTTATGATTGAGAGAGAGCACAAACACACTTCTCAAGTACAACATATGAAAAAAAAAAAGTTTGAAATGTAGAAACAGACACCTGCAGCACTTTATCGCCGATCAAGACACTGAATGACATTCACATATTTAAGTCACTTAAGTGTCTAAATACTTTTTGAGGCCACTAAATATGTTTGTATTTATTTAACCATTTGATATTTGGCAAATCAAGTTTTTAAAGTCTTTCAAAAGTTCAACTTAAAGGGGAAAACACACTTTTTTGTCCCTAATATAACCAAAATGTTTAAGTGTTTATACATTTAGACACAGTTGACAGAATTTATGTTTCTTGTGAACAAAATTGATGCTAAATGCTTCTGTTTAAATGCATGAAAGCAGTCTCGTAGTCAAATATAGGAAATTATGCCTGCATATGAGTTTCATTTGGACTTTTTAAAGGATCAATTAAAGCAGATAGAGAAGAAAGAGCATCAACAAGTGCTCTTAAAAGCATAGCATGATGAAGTTGGTTGACTGATGTGCAGAATGACAAGCAAGAAGCTCAAATATGAGAGATTTCATTTACGTCATGTTCTGCTCGCTTCTTCATTCCCAGAGTTCCAGCTGAGTTATTTCAGAGTTTGCATCACTTTGCTGTTATTCTAACAAGTGGAAGAGTCAGAGGAGACTAAGTAGTGCACATCAAACACTAGTAAGTCATAAGTACCTGGTGGGATGGTGAATCCGGGCGGCAGCTGTATAGTAGTTTGCTGTTGCGGTGGTCTGACAATCAGCTGCGGCGTTACGACCCTCTGCTGCGCAGGCGGCTGCGGCTGGGTCTGCGCAGGTCTGATGCCCGCAGCCGCGCTGACCGTGGGTTTGACAGGCGCTGCAGTGGCCGAGGTCGCCGCTGGCTTCGCGTTGTTGTCGGCGGGTGTTTTGCTGTGGTTGATCCGCGCGCCCTGCTGGACCAACGCGGACACCGACGTGCCGTTACCATTCTGCGCGATGCTGGCGATGATGTGACGCGGGAGTCTGTGCAGCGCGATGGTGGGCGTCCCGCGGTCCAGCGAGATCGCCTGCGGGTTACTGGACACGGTGAAAGTCGTGCTGGAGGTGCTGGGTGCTGATGCTGATGCTGCGTCGCCTCCGTTGCCGTTGAGACTGTGGGATGCTGCGGAGCGCAGCGTGCGCGACTTCCCCAGGTGTTTCTTGCGGGTGTCCCTCGGGCTCTCACCTTTGTTGCCCGGTGCAGGAGCGTCGGATGCTGCTGCTGCCGCTGCTGTAGTGATGATGATGATGCTGCCATGCGACTTCAGAGGGCTCTCCTTCTCCAGAGCTTTGGCGTGCTTGTCCATGCTGGCGTCTTTCATGTCAGAATCCGGGTTGCGCGCCGCTTTCCGCGCGTTCTGCTGCTGCTGCTGCTGCTGCGCTTGTTGTTGTGGTTCTGATGGAGAGTCTACAGGAGCAGGCAGCTGCGCTGTTCCTCCTGTCTGCTGCTGCTGCTGCTGCTGCTGCTTCGCGCTGCTATTGCGCGCGGCGGGCGGCTCGCTCTGGCCCACCAGCTGAGACTCCAGCGAGCCCACCAGATCGCTCACAGCTTTCTCGTCCACCTCGGAGAAGAGCATGTCTTCCAGAGGGTCGGAGGCGCCCGCCATGTTCGCTCTCTGTGTGTGATGGGCTGTCTCTGCTGGTGCGCGTCCACGAGCGCGAGTGCGCAGTCGTGTTACTATGGCATTGTGGGAATGGATGTGACGTCAGAGGGCCAAAACCAAACAGTTGTCACCCCGTTACACCTCAAGGCGGCCGAGGATACTACACGCGTTTGGAGGGAAGGGAGAAACATAAATAGATAGATAGATAGATAGATAGATAGATAGATAGATAGATAGATAGA